CGATACATGTTGTGAGGCTGAAAAACGTTTTAAAATTTTGCCCAGACTTTTTGCTTCAACTTAAGATGCACCACAATACTCTATCACAGTCAGTGTAGAAATTCTAAGCAAAACAAAATGATGAAAATTCTGTTACTATAGCAGAGTTAGCTGGCCACGCCGAGATGCAGATTAGTAAAGATAAGCTTATCCTCAAAAAATGAGAAAAGCGTTCGAGAGTTCCAGAGTAGTCACGGTAAAAACGTGTTACCGTTATCAGATTTTACTGTGGAAATTTAAAACGAGTAAAAATTTTCAACATTTTCCCCCCGTAAACTTTGATAAATAATTTCTTTACTGTTACCGATGGTAAATTACGGATGACTACAGAGTTTTCGATAATGTAAGGATATAGTCTAGTTATTTCTCTCGACTCGGCTCACACTTCGAGTCATTTTTTTCACTCTTCGCCTGCCGAGCCATAGATTAGCAAAAATATGTCGATGCATAACAAGAAAAGTTGAACATAACACAATGTTGACGAGAAAAGGACAGTTTTATTTTGCGCGATAAAATAATAAACAGAGTGAAGAAAGACAGAAAGAATCATCTTTTCTTTCATATCCATTATACACATGTATGCTTGATAGAACTTGAAACATTTTTGTATATCTTTTCTGATTCTGATCGACTCGATGAAGTTGGCATGGGCAACAAAGTGATGGAAAAAAAACAGGGACGGTTCGCATTCTATAACCCTCTTCTTAAACATCAATGATCCAATTGAAGCAAAATCTACTAATATTAATTCAAAATGATATGATTATTTCACTTGTGTAATGATAATTCTTCTTTTAAGCAATTATGAAATTCAGTTGATCAGAATAATTGAAGGAGCGACAAATAAGAGTAACCGAGCGATTTGTTGATAAATCATCTTCCATATCATCTATTTCCAAAGTCCGCCGGTAATGTATTACATTCTGTACAGTAATCGGTCGAACTGAAACCCATCCTAAATCTAAGAAAAGGAGAGCAACATGCATTCACATACGTATAAGGAGGGACTATAATGTATTAGGTGTCTTCGGCCTACTATCATCTTTGTAGGATGCTGTAACAGAATCGCGTACGCATCCAATAGCAATGTTTAAATGACTTACTTTCGTTATTAGAAATTGTGATGCATTTCTTTTCCGTTGTTATTAATCATCCTCCAGTCTAGAAAGACCACTATCGAAGGTATCACATATACAGCATGTGTCACTTAGGCTGATTGGATCAGTTAAAAGTTCGAGTAGCGTTCGACTGAATTAAGAAAAGGTTTCAGGTTTCATTTCGAGCATGGGAAAAGCATGTGTTACTCATCCAATTTCTGAGCGAAAGTTGAAGTTTCGGATTTTGAGTAGAAACGTTTTCCCAGGTTTATTCAGTGGTTTAAGCCGATTTGTTTTTCATTTTTTCGCTCGTAATCGCAGTTGTTTCAAGGGATTCAGAATCTCGACTTTCTATGATCTGCTGTTGATCGATAGCGAATTCAATTGTGTTTAGTTTTCTGTATTTTTCGAAGCTTCGAAATTCATTTTGGTGGAAAAATAAATTACTAAATTTATTTATGCTGGATTGTCGTTAATAATTTAGTAGGAAATGTAAATGAAAATGAAATCTTCTATCGATTATATCAATTGATAGAAGCTGATCAAGAATATGTGTAAAGGAATGCTTAAGAATAAATAGGACTCTTATTTTCTACCAAAAAACCACTTCAAATCTCAGTTTTTACTGATGTCTTTCTCTATCATTCCAGCATCAACTACCGACCGTTTTTAGTGCAATCAGTAGACCGTTAAAGAAGCTACAAGAATGTGTATAAATAACTGAGTTTAAAGGTTAGAATTATTGATTCAAAAGAAATAGTTTTTGTCCAGATTACTTCTCAAATTTTTGCTAATTCCCAGCAATGGAATAGAATGGAATGGTAGTAATGATATTTTTGTGATAGAATGAATTCTTTTTTTTCTCTCTACTATTATCGAAACCAAAATATAAGACAAGTGGCCATTCTTTGAATAACTGCTGAACAAAAGTAGATGAAGAGTCGGAATTTTTGGTGTCCAATAGCCAAGACTTAAGAGCATATTTTTGTAAACAAAAAATATTTCAATTTTTTTTTCAAAAATCCGTTTTCAACGAGATCTTTGGAAAATCGTTTCTGAAGGAATAACTGAAGAAATAACCGAATATGCTGCTAATAAATTATTAGAGATAAGGATATTCCATTATTAAGAATTCTTTGCTATTCCTCATGTTGCTTGCTGTTCTCGAAATAGCATCACTACCCAGGTCGAATTCGCCTGATCGAATCCGGTAATTTCCGGAGATCGAGCTTCTGATCGGATGCGGAGATGGGAATCTGTTCAATTCCTTCGTTCCGATATTTTGTTCCTAGAGGATCCAGATACGACAGAAGCACTTTACATGCGACACTACAGAAAATGAGAAGTTCTTCTCAAATTCTTAGCAGTATGAGTCATCGCTCACACTGTTCAACGGATGCCTAGATAGTGGGTCTTGCCTCTTTCTCGAATGAACAGAGAGAAGAACCACTAGATAATGAAAGAAAAAATTTACGGCTGTTTTTAGCCTTAACACACCTGAAAACTGATCACATTCTGCAAAGTTGAAGGATCCGGTCGGATCTTTTTCGGCATCTTTCTGCATAGTCCGGCATGGTTGCTGCCAAATTTTACCGAATTCCAACAACTTTCAGCATGTTCTGGTCTTGGATCCTGACGCCGGAATCAACGGCCTGGGTATTTGTACTATGCCATTACTGTTGATTTTCATCTTGAACAGCTCGTTCGATCGATTAGGGTCATGCATGCTTTCTTTAGAGTTACTATCTGATAAAATCTTGTTCTTTTTGCTTTTAGTCTAAATTTATTTTAAAAAATTTCTATTGATTCGGTACATATTAGATAGAACAAAGTTTTTGTTGAAAAATTCAAACTAGCCCGGTATTTGGTGGCGCAAGTAATGATAAATATTACTGTGGTTATCTGATATTCTCATTATACGTTGTCCTCACGGTTGACTATCTCATTCCATTCCATCTTTATGTCGATATCTGATGTTGATCGAACTGGCTGGTGATATTTCTCGGAACTAGTTGGCGCAGATCTAGACAGGGAAGTTCATAGAAGAAAAGCATCATTTGAATAAACTTCCATCTAGTAAAATGTAATTTAGTCTGACTTAATTAAAGTAAAAATGAAATATATATTCTTGCATTTTGTTAGACGTTATGTTGTTATCATTTCGATACTTTTTCTCGTGCTTCTTTTGTTAAAACTAAAATATGGCTGTAAAAAACCGCCTGCTTCGAATTCGTCTGAATCACTTTTATACGAAAATGGTAATACGTCTTTACCAGTTAGGCACCTATTAAGAAATGAAACAATCAAATATCTTCAAAATTCATTGGTTATTGTTACTGTGTGTGCTCGAAATGTTGATCAATATTTACCTTTATTTCAGCAGAAAGTTACAGAAATCGTATCCATCTTTAAAGATTATCAAATTTTAATTGGTGAGTCAGATTCAACAGATGAAACATGGAACTATTTAAAGCAATGGGCACTCATAGATTCTCATGTTACTATTGAAACCTATGGCGAATTATCGAAAATATATTGTAGTCGATCTGTACGCATCGCTCATTGTAGAAATCGTTTATTAGATACAGCACGTAAAAATGGCTGGCTTAGAGAAGCACCATTTTATCTCGTCATGGATGTTGATGTAAATGCAAATAATGTTTTAACGTTAAAAAATTTCTTGACGAATTTTGAATATCCATTAGAACAATGGGCTGTTATGACAGCTACGCAAGATACCATCTATTACGATATTTGGGCTTTGAGATCACACTTTGTAGACTACGATTGTTGGCAAATGGTCGACAACCTTGCTAATGCTGGCTACTGTCACTCAGCACTCGTTGAAAAGTTTGTTGGAAATTTTCAAAAACCTATTCCACATGAGTATGGTTTGATTGAGGTTCAATCAGCATTTGGTGGATTTGGAATCTATTCTACCAAATATTTAAATAATTGTGCATATTATGCCTATACGAATTATGAAATATGTGAACATGTGACATTTCATCAGTGTATAAAAGCTAATGGTGGTAGAATATTTATAAATTCTAGATTTAGAAATGCAGGAACCTATGAAACTTGAATGGAAGAGATAAAAGCTGCTTTTCGAAATTTTGTATCTTGAGTTAGTTGTGGAAATCCAATTTCCCATCGACACACTATTGTTAGGACACTCGCTGAGAAAAGATCTGTTTTCCATGCAATAGACTCGTATTTGCCTGTTAGAAATAAAGTGTGTAAATGTCACACACATAGGCCAAGTCGAGTCCCAATGACCGTCTAGAATGTACGGCGTAGGTGTGTAAAGTACACACTGAGAAGTGACCGGCTGGCTCTACACACTGAGACTAATGATATAGTTTACTTGTCTAAACTATGTGGTGGAAATGTCTCGAATTCATCAATCGATTGTTCTAATCTATCGATTAGAATTTGCGATGTTTTATTTTCCTCTTTTTTCTTAGCCGTTTTTGCTGGAAATGACAGCATATATACTTTGGAAGACGGTAATCATGATTCTGAAGTTATGCTTTTATTTGATGTAATAGTTCGGGAGAAGAATGGAAAATAAGAAATCTTTTTAACACACCTAGCGTTTTACACACTGAGATCGACCATCTAGAGAAGGTACACACTTTTCGATGTCGAGTGAACGTTTAGAAGATCTACACACGCAGTAACACTCTTTATTTTTTACGGTGTGCCTATTAGAAATACATCTTCAAATATTTTGATGCATTTTTTACCAAGACATACACAAGTGAATCACGATACCATTATACCTTCGATCAGAGCCCGAAACCAATCAGAAAACTGGAATTCGATTCGATTCCGAGAACGAATTTAAAAGCCGAATCCCTTCGAGTCGACTTAATTCGGTCGAAAGGGAAGCTTTATTCTCTTTTATGTTTCAAATGTCTACCACGAACATTCTCTCTCAAGTTAGAGTACGTGAGGAAACCTGCCATTCTGCGACTAAAACTTTCAACCATGAAATAAAGCAATACAAAGAATATTCACAAGAAATATCTTCGTAAGATTAGTCTTTCATTTATAATTTTCTATTAAACGTAAAAGTAATATATTATTGACTGTCAATAGATCTGAGCCTAAGCGATGTTGATTAACTATCTGGCTAGCGGTGCTGAATCCTCGTTCAACTGCAACCGGGCTACAAGGAATTAAAAAATATCGTTTCGTTAAGCAAGCCAAATTTGGAAACAGTTTTTGCCTCTGTTACACCATTCAAGAAGGCAGCAAAAGGTCTATATATTGTCGAACAAACAAAACTATGCTCTTTAACTAAACTGCCTAGTTCAATTCCATTCGGACTTCGTACCGATATCTGAAAAGAAAAAATACAATAAAGGGGTTGTCACATTAGAAGACCTCCGTCGACCTCTTTATGTAATAGTTGGAATATAAGACTCTCCTGTTTTAAGATTTTAACGGGAAAAGATGTCAGTTATACTGCTAATTAATACTTAGGGCAATCCAAAAGTAGTGGCGGAAATACTTTATTTCCGTATAGAAAGCTTGATGAAACTTTCTCTTTATATACAGCAATAGTAAAAACAATGCTCTATTTTTGTGTGGTATTGATGAAAAAGTTAATTGTAGTTTATTTAAAATTTGATAACTAACCAAATTCTCGAGCTTTTCCCCAAAAATGAATCTCAAGTAAAAATTTCGAATGACACATCAGTCGACTCAGTTTTTGATCCTAATTCGACCTATCTAATGCTGTGTGAATCAAAGGTCTAGCCCTCCACACAAAAAACTAGTAGGGTTTTTGAACAAAGAGTCTTGGTTCTTGACTCATATATGTTCCGGGTCTTACCAAAATTCCACTTTGTGGTTTGGAGACCTGGGAGCACCTTAGCAAGATACAGTTTTCAATAAGGAATCCAAGTATAGCAAAGCTTAAGTCTTCACGACACTTGAAAAAGAAAACGCAAGCCTTTTTCTCAACTCCACCACTACTCTTGGATTGCCCTAAGTCAAACGATATTTTATTTCAAAATAATAGCATGCCTATATGAAGATATATTTATTCATAACTGATGACAAAATGTGACTTTGTTCTTTGTTCATACTATAAAATAGTATATACTATTGTTTGGGACGGAATACAAGACTCATCTAAATCTTCAAAACTCAGGACCGAGTAGAGCTCCCAGGTCTTTTAATATGACAACCCTTTTAACTGTTTGTTGACTGAATAGACTATCCTCTTGAATTGTTGTCAACCTTTGCATACCAATGTTGGAAAAGCAACTCTCTATGTCCTTTTCCTGCCACAATATAACGGCTGCATTCGCACATGCGTGGCCTCTTATTATCCTTTACCGTTGAAAATAAATGTGTTTTTGAAGATGGAATGAGTTCGAAATCGTTTTTTTATAAAGTTATGTGTTGAGAGTTTTCTAGTTTTACACGAAAATAGGCAAAAATGGATTATTTCACATAATATAGTTTTTATTAGGTCTTTGAACTTTTTCGAAAAACCGACATTGTCACAAGATTTAGCGTGGTCGATAACCAGTGTTCCATGTGCTTTCGGAGTTTCCAAAACATACAGTTTAGCCGTCAGGTAAACCCTTGAAAAAA